AGAAATGAAGCATTTAACATATAACTCGTAAAATTCAAAGTTTAAAGCCTAGGAAAACAATCACGATTAGAGCCATTCAACAAAATCATATCTCCCTTCACATATTATCTTTTTATTCTTATAATTTTTCAATAAACCAACTCTTAAATAGTAGTACTGTTAGGTATCGTGGCTTTAGGTGAACAAATAAATTAAACAGAATGGGCCTGAATCATACCAACACCACAGGCAACTGCTGTGGGTTTTGCCACCCAATGTGTTGGTAAGGGATTAGGATATTTGCTGTCAAGTCATACTCTGGTGCCCTAAGCTTTGAAGAATGCAGTAGGTCCTAGCAATTTTTGTTGGCTCAGGTCCCTCATACATGGGCCATATGTGACCAAGAGTAGCTTCTCATGAAGAACACAGCAGAAATTTGAGCATGTTCTGCCAAAAGTCCCTGGGAAGCAGGATCTGTTGGCACATTCCTACCTTCAAGCAGGCAGTGGGAGTGCATCTTGGAGTTATTCAGTTCCAGACAAAAATGGCAAAAGTCTCTTCTAAGATGGACTGTGAAAACAAAATTACAGAGGGTACAACTGGTAAGTACAAAAGGGGAAGACAGAGAAATACATACCAAAGAATATGCACAGACAGAATGGGAACATCTTTCTGTTACCAGCAGCATTTACACATATAGGATATACACATATAGGATTCTGTTTCTCCTCCTGGCATTCAGCCCTGGGTGGTGAAAGAGCTGATGCTCTAGGCTGCAGTTGTCTGTCCTTTTTCCAGCTGGTCAGAGGGACCTCTGTAAGCACCACTCAGCTCTGGCAACAAAGACATGCAAGTCCAGTTCATGCCTGAACAGTGATGCTTGAGGTGACCTTTACCTGCTGAAAATCCTACTACCCTCTCATCTACTCCTTGTCGTCTCCTAGATCACAGCAGGAAAGGACAAGGGCAAAACACAGCTAGCCTGGTCATGAACTACCACTTGGGGTCCATCATGTTGACCCTATGTCCTGGAGCTGAAGTGAGAATATTTGACAAAAGGAAAAGAAAACACATATCTAAGAGAAAAAAATCTAGCATAACCCACGCAGAACAGCTAAAGTAAAAGATGTGACAACAAACAAGCTCTGCAGTCAAGGAAAGGGTAAAATCTTGGCTCTGCTGAAGTCAGTGGGATGTTTGCCAGAAAGCTGTAGACAGCATGTTTTATCCCGGACTTTTAATTAGTTATTAAATGATTCAATGGCAAGTTGGCTGGTTCAAGGCACAAAAAAATCATAGAATAGCTCCAGCATGCCTCTCCCTGCCCTGCCTACCCCTTGGGAGGTACAGATCATACACGGCTTTTTTTTATGGGAGACCTGGCAGGTATTTCATTGAACCTTAGTTGAAATTGGTAGTTTCCCAGGCCCTGCCTCCTTCCCAAGTTTGGAGATGAAGATAGGAAACACCTGCTAATGACACCAGAGACCCAGCAAACAGCAAAAGTCACATGTCAGCAGAAGGCACACTGGAAGCCTGGCCTCTCCAATCCAGACACAACCTATCTGATGGGGGGGAGTGTATATGAAGAAATAGAACAGTACATTTATTTAATTGACATGCATTTGAATGGATTGGAACTATTCTGGAGTGACATACCCACAATCAAATAAGGCAGCTCACTGCCTTCAGGCTTAAGTCACTTTCCTAACAGCCCAACCACCCAAATGATCTGTTCACACCGCACACTTCTCTTGTTCCACCTCATGTTTCTGTTTCTCCCGCTTTTCCCCTCTCCAAAGTACATCGGTTTCCACAGAAACAAAACACGTCATCGGAATGGACAGAACTTGGTGACATCCCCGAGCGCAGACAGAAAATGCAGTTTAGGTGAGCACTTTGCAGTTTGCAGGGTGAGCTGGGGACGGCGACGGGCGATGATCCCGCGCACGTGTGCGTGCACGTGCTCGTGGGGGCGGCCGCCGTGTGCGCTCCATCCCGCCACACGATTGACACACATGTGGTGCCACCCGCTTCCCGGGACAGCACAGGGCTCGGCAGAACCCCTCTCCATCCTATTCCATTTTAATATAGCTGAAAATTGCTTTGACGGCTGAATAGCTTCTTTGTTTATAACTCGTTCTCAGCTGACTCCGCTGCATTATGTAGCTTTGTGAAGAGATTACTTTGTCAAGAACTGAACATATATGGTCTGAGCATGAACAATTCGGCGAGATGAACTGCATTCATTTTACGTCACGTGCAGTCTGCAATCCTGCTGCCTTTAATGCATCTGCTTTATTCCGTGGGCTTCATTTTCTGATCTCAAGTGTTTTATAAATTTTCTTGGAGTCTTTGGGATTATCTTCCTTACCTCCTCCCTGGACAGATGCCGAGAATTTTCAATATGTCTAATCTGAGAACATTGTGTCTTGCATTAAATGTTGTAGCAAACCAAGGTTTTGGCTGTGTATAACAGGAGATCATCATTATCTAGTTAGCTAATTATCCACCTGCAAATATCTTATTCCTGCCCTAAATTGCTACAGTTCTGTTAGTATTTGAATTAGTATTTCAACACACTGGAGTCCCAGCAAAAATGTAGAAACTGGACCCCACTATAGGGAACAACGTATGGAACATATGCAGCTTCTTACCTTGCCCCTTCATCCCCAGCCCTACCAGCCATGCTAAGTAGACAGATCTCCATCCACATGACTTCAGCTGCACTTAAGCCAGTCCCTTGTCTTTACAGAGCCTTATCTAAAATATTGAGGCAAAACCAGCCTGCACAGCACTGCTGGCACTATCAGGGTTTTTCACTGTGTACTAAATGAGCCTTGCAGGCTCTAAGGCCATTGCCTGATGGTGTTTAAGTTGACTGCACTGGTCATCTCTGATCATCATTGCAGTTTTTACTTCTAGCCATGGCTTGCTCAGAAGTTACATTATTACAGATTCACTTTGTGCCCTACCTAGAGGCACAAACACGGACTCAGGGCATTTTTCTCTGGCTTCTCATGTCTTATTCCTCTTTCCCTCCCTCAACTTTTTAAATAGACTGCATTAATTCTGATGGGTAGAAGATATGGTCCAGTATAAAGATGACTAAGAACATTAATTGTCTTAACAGCAAAATTCCTATTGGCTTTATAGTAGACATTACATTGATCTCTTGTGGGTTGGAAACTGAATGCTTTACTTAGAGACATCACTGGAGGCTTTTCTTGTGTGGGACACAGCACTGGGCCTTGAAAAATCTTGCATTTAAACAGGTTTTGCTCAGCCCATGAACTGGCAGAACTCCAGTTTACACTACGCCCTGCATTTTGCACTCAGCAGTATTTTACCACTTCTGAACATACCAACCTTCCCTATAAACAGAGGGGAAGTTTGTCAGACAGACAAATCCCTCCTTATCTCTTAGTCATAACCCTGATCCACTTCAAATGATTTAAAGAGCTTCACACATATTAACCTTTAAAATAAAAAAGACAAGAAAACGACTTCTTTGCAAATCACTGTTTGAAAACAGAAGCTGCAGAAAGATTCCTCACAACCTTATTTGCTCCCACTCATACTCCTAATGTACACATATTTTACAAGAGCTGGCACACTATGTGTTAGTTTGTTGAATATGTATATATATATATATTTATATATATTTTAAACTCACCATCTCTAGGGAAGTTCTTTGCACTAGATACTGGTGTCTTGGCTAATGAATTCCTTATCTTTCACCCCCTTGGAAAATGAAGGACTGCTATCACTGACAAAAAAAATACCACTGACCATGTAATAGTCAGGTAAATGATGAAAGGCCTCACAGGCAGTTTAGAAACAACTATTCTTGTTGTACTGGGAAATTTCAGATTTAGTAAGAAGTCATGAGGTCTTCAGTAAATTTCCACAGTCGGTTTCTGTTCTTCGCCCCCCCTTGTGGCAAACCTGGCTGAGCCACCAAACATGTCTCAATCAGTCTGCAACCTGCTCCGCCGCAGGAGCCCTCGGAAAATCCCAGCCCAGCAGACACCAGCTGTACCGGGCTATGGCTGGTGCCAAAAAAGGCAGCAGGGATTTGCACAGTCACTGGTTGTGTGTGTTGGTTGGAGAGGTGTCATGAGAAAGGGGGGAGGTTTGCCTGACCCTCAGAGAGGGGAGCAGCAGCTGCATTTTACCCTGTAATTCTTAGTCTCCTAATTTTTAACCCTATCCATCATTCCATGGGAGGGTTGAAGTCAACTGGCTAAAATACACCAGAAGCTTTGAGCAAAAGGAGAGCATAGGAGAGAAGGGAGTCATGGTTTGCAGAGGAGAAGTAAAATAATTTCCAAGTCAAAGAGCCTTGATACAGACAGAAAATGAGAAGTAGACAGGGGGAGGAAGGCACGTCATCACCTCGCAGCATGATCTTTTTGGAATAAATAATACAGTTTTGTATGTACTGAGTGTGCCTTGCACTTCCCTTCAAGGAGGCTGCTAATATCCTAGATAGTGGATTTCTACGTTCATATATATCTTTTCATTTCAGTGCTGGTGGTACCTAGAAATCTGAATTTAAAGTTTCCAAAACCAACTAAAATCCTTGCCTCTGACTCTAGTCTTAGCTGTTCCCTGCCAGTGTACGAACATGACTGTCCTTCCATGAGGTCAGAGTTAATAACAAGCTAAATATGTCCCACCTAGAGGAGCATCCATAGGTCATAGTGTCAGTCTACAATCATATAAGAAAACGTGAAAGCTTATTAAAGGCTACTTTTTCCAAAAAGGACCTTAAATTCTGGACCCTGACAATGCACCAGTGCATAACTCCTTTTTGACTAAAGACCTGTAACTCAGATTAGGTGCCTCAATTTGGAGAAACTCAAATGTTTTGAGCTCAGTCTCATGCAAAAACTGACAAACTTCAGAAGATATGTTTTGCAATTTAAGAAGTTAAGTAACAATACAGCAGAATCAGGCAAATCCAACCATCAGTGAAATGAAGAATATACTCCATTAGGTGTATGACCTTTCTGTGTTTTCTCTTTAGGACAGTGCCAGGGAATACATGGGACAGAGAACTCCAGGCTCATGCCACTTCTGACTCCCCACTGGCCCACCAAGGCTCAGATGGTTGACTTGCATCAAGCTCCTCACAGACATGGGAATACATTTACCCAGAAAGTAGGTCTTGTACACTCTGGTTTCTGGTATTGTAACTAAAAACACAAGGGCTGATGCTATTAGCAGATGGATACTTTTCCTGTTCAGAGTGCTTTCAGCCTTTCATATTTACTGGAAAAGTGGGCACGATGGGAGCAGAACCACAGGTCCAGCTCTCAGTGCCCATTAGAGGTTAAGTTGCTGGGGATGAGCCTATGATTAGGATTAGCAATTTGGACCTCTATGGATCAAAGCATTTAGGATTGTATCTGAGAGCTCAGTAACTGAAGTCCAAGGCTATTGCAAATGGATCTTTACTGTCAAAGTTTTCATAAGGACTGGCAAGCTTCTTCTGGACCTCATCAAAATAATTTCTAAAAAAACTTTGAAAATCCTAAAGCAGAAAGAATCACCACACCGAAGCTCCAATGTGGTTTCCTTTAATGACAAAGGATAGGGGGTAGGTGCAAGAATCTCCTCATTCTCTTCTCTCAGAGACAGGCAGAGAGATTTTGCACAGCTGGCTCAGCCATGCACAGGGTGTTTCAGTTCTCCCTCAGCAGGGCATAAATCCACCTGAAAAAGTAGTGATGGGGAAGGAATTGCCCAGCAGCTACCCTAGCCTGAATGCTATGAGGCTCTTCCAGACCTTCTCTGTAAACAGGAATTGCCTTTGGACCCTTAAAAAACACGCACTATATCACTCCGGAATGGTGTTAATCTCTCGGTCGTGGAGGTCAAAGCAAGATTTCTATTATAAGCTCTGTGAAACACATCTCCTTGCCAGCCACTCAACTGCAGGGAACAAAATCCAGTCAGCCAAAATGGTCCATGTGTAACAGGACACCAGAGCAGGCATTTGAGGCAATGCAGGCGAGGCATTTTGGAGCTGTGAGACCTCCGAGCTGTTGCTGAGCCCTCAGTGAGGCAATACTGGCTCAGTGCCACAGGCAAGGAAGCAGAAAAGATAGTTTTCTCTGCTTCCTTGCAGAGGACAATGGTCTATTCACAGGCAACACCAGCTGGAAAGGCCACTGCCGCACCTCCCACCCAAGGTCCGGCAGGGCCTTCCAGCATCAACCATGTTCCTTGCCTGCCCTTGCTATGCTTCCATCTTCTGTAGCACTTCTGCATAAGGCCTGTTTCATTCAACTCGATAGCACTTACAACAGCTGGAGCCCAGGAGAGGTTGGACCTTGTGGTTACAAATGACAGTGCCCCAACTTGGTGTCACGTTGGCTGAGCAATGACTAACATGTGCCAAAGCAAGAACACTGACACCCAGGGGTAACCTTATCCAACAAGCTGGAGGTTAGCTGAGGACCCTCCACTTCTCTTTCTTTAACACATTTTATTTGTATTTTCCTCAGGGTCCACAGTGCACATTGGCTTTGCTGATAAACTTATCAGCAGCAGAGTGAAACATCCGTTTCATTTGTACTGTTTATGCAGAGGCTTTTTTTCTGGTTGGTAAGTCAGGATTGAGTGAACAGCATGACCCTGCATTTTCTTCCATCCCCCATGAAAGCTGCTCCTTGCAGCATGTGCTACACGTCAGAAGATGGGGAGAGACTGCGTCAAGGATCAGCCCTCCCCTGCCCCAGTGCTGAAGGTCTTCACCTTTCCACTGGAGGTGGTCTATCCCTACACATCATTCCCAGCCCCAACCCAACCTCCAGAGATGAGGAAAGGCTGTGGCACTGTATGTGGATGCCGATTACATCTTCAAACAGGAGGAGCACACAATCGGTGGGATCCGCCTGCTTTCCAGCCCCTTTGTGCTCAGGGGCAGAAATACAAATAAGCCTCAATGTCTTTTTCCTGCTTATGTGAACCAAGATCCGTTTTTCAATAGCAGGCCCTGGCAGATAAGTATTCCCTATTCTCAGTATTTATTTTTGGGAGGGAAAGCCTTTCACTGACTCCCATAACACTCCCCTCCAGCACTTGGGAGGTGCAATGGGATGGCAGGTAGAGCTGTGATTCAGGGATGCTCCTACACCCGCTGGAAGCTGGTGTTGCCATGCCAACCTGCAGCCTGTGCACAGGCAGCCCAGGGCACTGCAGGCTGCTACAGGGTCTATGTTCTTGCAGATAGATTAGTCCCAGGACCCTGCAGTGGAGGATTTGGTTGAAGCTTCAACTGCAGAATGGATGATGCTGTCCCAGTGCATTCTCAGCTCAGCTGCTCATCTCCTCCCTTAGCCTTGTCTCAGAGAAAATAGGACCATAAACTTTACTAGGGAGTTTTCCCCCTAAATGAATTACATCACACAACCATTACTAACAGTTTGTGTTTTTTTCAGAAGGACCACAGAGAGACAAGTGGGTAGGAATGGCAACAATCCTCCCAACAAGCCCAGGCACCCCTGGCAGCAGCCACACCCGCCCTTCACCCACTCAGCATGTCACGTCATGTGCTGCGTGAGACAGCACCCAGAGCCCATCTGAAGCACACACAGGACATGACCAATTACCTTTCCTCTGCTTAGACTCACCAAGAGGGACATTTTGAAACTGTTCTTTCTGAAAAGCAGTAAGTGACAAAGCCAGCTCTGTGCAAAGCCAGCAGAGGTGGAGGGCACTGCTGACAGCTCATAGGATAAAGCTCATGTTTGGATTTTACTGCCTTATTGGAGAACTCCCTGGGTAATTTTCTGGGTATTTTCTAGGTTACTTCCTTATTGCTCTCTGGGTAAACTAGGTCAAAACACTTGCCTTGCCTAAACCTCAGTTTGTCAATATATAAAATAAAGGCGATGGGACAAGTTGTTCCCTGCTTTTTCTGCATGGACTTCAACCTTATGAAAAGTCCGTACAATGCCCCTCTCCTTCATTAGAGCCAGAAAACCTCTGAAATCCCCAAATTCAGACAAGCCATGAACTGTTGCATATTGCTATAAGCAGTTAAAGAGGAGCATGTGTGAAATATGGACAACTGGATGGATTAAGAAAGATGTGCTCAGCAGCTTTTTGGGCAGCTTTTTGTCCCTAAAAGGAAAAGAAAAAAAGTACATAATCTGTAATTGTTTTTCCTTGATCAGCCTTCCTGCTACAGTAGGAATATCCTTACAAATCACAATATCTGAAGTCCGAAGAAGCATTATAGGAACAAAGAGACTCTTCCACCCACTGTGCTGAATCCCAGAGCTGGCTGCTCCTTCCTGAGATACTGCAGTACTCCCCAGCCTTGTTGGCTGCCACTCTGCACACACTGTTCATTTACCTGCACTGATCTTCTCAATCAAAAGCTGAGCATTTAAAACCACTGTAACCTCTGGGGGTCCTGCAGCATCTATAGTGGGATCTGATAAAGTGAAAGCTGCTATGAGCAGACAATACAGGCACAGAGGTGGTCAAGTGTCTTTGAGTCTGAATTAATAAATGTGGCTGTTAGTTTGCCGTAACAAAAAGGGTTAGTCTACAGCACCACAGATAAGAAACAAGTTTTTTTGAAGAAGGTAGGCATTTTTTTGAATAGGATGTCTGCCAGCAACCGTGTTTTACTGCATTGTTACCATGCAGGGTAACATATACTGACTAACAGCACTTAATACATGAGACTGTTCTACAGAGAGCCTCTGTATTTCAGTGTCTGCATTAAATATGGCAATAAACCTGGACAAATTTCAGTGTATGTTACATTGCATCAGCACTCTCGTACTATCTATAGTTTCTATCTTTTCTCATAGGATAAAATCCAGCAATCTGGATAGATTTTTTACGTGAATTATTCCTTACTCTTTTAGTGCTTCAGAATTTGGGGGTAATTTTGGCATCATGTCTCTAAAAATGTATCCAGTCTTTTCAGGAGCAGAGATAACCAAATTAAGAACTGTAACTTAGCAAGACCACTACAAGGAGACGGAGGAGGAAAGCTGTTGTCAGAACAGTATTGCCATGACTGTTGTTTCCTACGGCATCCTTTGGCTGCCTTCCACTCCCTAAGTGCCCCTTGCCTGGCTCCTCCTCCCCACACTTCCACCTGTGAGCCATTTATCTTATGTTTCATGGCCCTGCGTGAGCTCTCCGCACTTTACAATATCTTCACAAGTCATTACTATGGACTATATAGCCGGGCTTAGTACACAGGTTCAATAGTGCAAGTCCTTTGAACTGCATTCCTCAAGTCCACTTTTCATCCCGTTATCAGACTGACACTGAATAAAGGCCAGGTGGAAAGTCCCGGTAGGACATGCACTCCTGTGGCTGTCATTCACATAACGGCTATGATAGAAAAGGGTTGGCAAGAGACCTCACCACACACTGAACTATGTGAATTATGTGTGTTCAGTCTAATTGGAATGATTTCTGATATCTCAGGGTCAAAGTCTCACTTTTCATAGAGGACTTATTTATCAATGACACCTCACTAGCCAGAATCAGAACTAGTTCTGCTTAATCAGTTACTATGGACAGAAATACATTCAGTCAGTGACTCTCAGACATGATCTGGCTCCAGGTCTTGAAATGAGAACCATTTGCCACACTGCCCAACAATAGCAATTACACAGCTGAGGCTGGGGGTTCGAGACAAGAAAGCTACTTGAAGATGTCCCTCACTGCCTGTTGGGAAAAAACCCCCAAAACCACTACACACCAACAAAAGAAATATCTAATTTTTGACAGTTTTAAAGTTTCTCTGCTTGATTTCTTGCTACAGTAGAATAAAAGAAAGTGCCATAGTAATGGCCTTCAGCCACACCAGGTCCTTTAACATGTGTCTTGTGCTGCTCTCCACAGAACCTATAGTTATGTGCATCCTGGAGCATCCCTGCACATACAGTCCCCAGAGGGGCTTTGCAAACTGCTCATATAACTGTTGCATTAAATTACATTTAGCTTGAGTGATCAGTAGCTCATCAGCTGAATTCTGGCTCTGATTTCTAATAACTAGAAGCATCTGACATAATGAAAGCCCTTAGAGAAGGCACAGGGAGAGAAATAACTGTGCTAATTAAGCTATGCAAAGTGCCTTGGAGAAGAGTGCTCCACTTCAAGGATACCCTGACATTTCTGACCCATTACAAGTATCAGCATAAAAATTTCAAGAATTTAATGTGGAGTGTTCAATTGAGACACAGATGAAAAGAAATCATTAGAATTTAAAACTGATTTTTTCCTTACAGCTCAGTAAACATCCTTAGCCACTAATGTGGTTAACTTTGATTGTACAGGGGTAGATCATCCTCATAAACATGATAGAAAACCACACTGGCCTAGCACATTTATGATGAATTCTTTGCTTGCAGTGCAAATGGAAATGCAATAGTCCTATTGCTGTATCCTGCTTAGCACTTAAATACCATTTTTCTAATTTATTTCCATCTTTTGAACCTAAGGACACAGAGGAATGTTTTGAATTTTACATAAGATATGTATTTTCTTCTGAGAGCGAACCTGTAAAAATGCAGCCCAATTAATAATGCACTTAGCATCTTTCACCTCCAAACCCTATAATTTTTAAAGTATCCTCACAGGAAACATTTTGGTGTATCTGTTTTAAAGCTGTCTAAACTAAGGCTTGAAAAAAAGAAAGTTACCAAGGTCAAAATGCATGTCAGGTACAGAGTTGGGGGGAGAAATCCTGATCCAGAGTCCTAGTTGTCTGCTCTACCAGTTCACTGGTATTCCTTTCCTTGCCTGTGTTTAGGAACAGATTATCTGGATGTCCCACTCAAATAAAAGGTGTTGAATGGAAGACAACTCTTCTTCCTAAGATGGTTTGGAGCCATGTTCTAGGACAACAGCTTGCTACTAGTACTAACTGAGGGAGTTGCAGTGGAAGTGACTGATGAACCTGAGAAGAATCCAAATATAGACAACCTACAGTTCCAGCTTTTTCCCTCTGACCTCCTAACCAGAGTAATATCCTGCAGAGAGAAGTCTAGATCCCATTGAATGGGAGAAAGTTGACTGGGAAAGGCAGCTGAATTCCTTTGATGGCAGAGCCAAGGAAGAAAACTATCTAACTGTTCTGTTACAAAGTTGCCACTGGACCAAAAACAAAACAAGCATCGTTTGGTCACACATGAGACTGGCTTTTTAAATACTCATCTGGGCCTCCTGTTCTTTCTCCAGTTCTGAGTGCTGTGCCCTCGTGCCTTCACTCCCCTCCTGTGGCCACACAGCTGGGCTTGGAGAATCTGTGCTCTGAGTCGTGCTGCTCTGCATTTCCTAAAGGGCTCACATGCCTGTCTAAGCTGCCTTATAGGGTGATAAACTGAAAGAGAGTAGATTTAGATCAGGTATTAGGAAGAAATTCTTTACTGTGAAGGTGGTGAGGCCCTGGCACAGGCTGCCCAGAGAAGCTGTGGCTGCCCCATCCCTGGAAGTGTTCAAGGCCAGGTTGGATGGGGCTTAAAGCAACCTGGTCTAGTGGAAGATATTCCTGCCCATGGCAGGAGCGTGGAACTGGATGATCTTTAAAGTTCCTTCCAATCCAGGGATTGGATCCTATGATTCTATTACGCTATTTACAGTTTTAATACAATAAGGAACAAGAAAGATTATATTTCTGTTGCTTTACTTACATAAGGAGCAATGTAACTGTCTCTCCCTGTCTCAGTCTTATGCTATTAATAAAGTCCATGTGAGGAATACACAAATTTACACCACGTGTGAAACCTGTACACGTTAACTAGTCTCAAGCTAGAATAGTTTCCATGCCGTGTGTCTCCATATAGCCCATCTTTCTGGCACATGTGACCCAGAAATGTGTCATCAGGACACATGTAGTCACTGGACTGATGAAAGGAATTCAAGGGAAACAGAAGCAAAACTTCTGCTTCCAATCTCTGCTCAGCTTTTGTTGCTACTGCTCTCTGAAGAAGTTAGCAACACATGAAAAAGATGTCGTCATCCCAACTTGGCCCTGGTTTTACCTTTCATACAGCAGGCTTTTATGTAAAGCCATACTTTCCCAGAGATTATGAAGAAAAAGGAACTAAAATCCACGGCTGTCAGTTTTTAAAAGCAAATAATCACTCCCACGCAATGGCTGAAAGGCAAACTTGTACCTAAAGACTTGCAACTGGCATCACTGACATTTTTCATTGTCCAATCAAAATGTTAAAAATAAAAATAAACAGAGCCCACAGAACAAAATACACTGGATTTTAACATTCTTTCACAATTCATAACCAAAGCTGCGGTCAGCAACATGGAGCGAGAGAGACGTTTGGTTATAAGTCATGACTTCAATCTGAGAGTCTCACTGGCATTTCCTGGAAAATTTCCAAATTAAATGGTTGTCCAAATTAGAGACATTCAGACTAAAGATGAAACACCACAAATAAGCTATTTTGTCTAGAATAAATAAAATCAAACCAATAAAATGCTCAAGAAGATAATTGTTACAACATTGTTGTCTTGGGCATCCTTGTCAGTGATTAATGC